CAGAGAACGGGGGGGGGGTTGTCTCCAACTTCCGCACCCAAGGAATACACAGTTTGCGACTGGATGTCGGTGAATAATACCACTTTAACTTGCACTAGTTTGCCCTTTTAAGTATAGTGCCACTGAAATTAACGCTGTTTCTATGTCTGGGTAGAAGTGGCAAATATGGGTTTTTGTGGTTCTGTTTTTTGTACGATTTGTTCTGAGCAACGAAGGACATTGTCGAGGTTGGCGTATGATCAGCTGACGTCTGCGCTGAGTGAATAATGGTAACGTTTGTTGTATTTTCATTGCATAGCAGAATAAGCCGCAAAATAAAACGCTGACGTCTTCCACCCTGAATAAAGGCGGTTAATGTTCTCGCTTTGCTTTAAACTTTATATTAAGCCAGTCTTAATGTTTCCAATATGCAGCGACTATTCAGTATTCCTGTGGTTTCAGTCATTATCATTGTCACGTCATCAGCGTGCATTTTGTGCCCATCAATATGGCTTTTTATTTTTGCTCTCTCTAGTATTTTTGACTTTTATTGATTCGAAGTGATTGTTTATTTTATATTTCATATTGTTTCGTGTTTTAGTTCTTGGTGCCTTTCAAGAACAGCTGAGGGCGTTGAATTTGCCTTCCAGTGCTTCTCTGAATAATATTATTCCATCGGTCAGTGGCGCGTTTACGACCGCCTTCTCGAACGCACTACCGCAGTCTTTGTTAGGCAGCAACGAAGAAAGTAGAAAATTTTTGTCAAAAGCTGCTGTCAACGACAAGCCCTCTCGTTGTCACTCTCAACCTCAGCAGCCTGCTCCTCCGCTACCGCCAGCCACTTCGGCTAATGTTATTTGTTGTACTTCTAACGCGTGCCCAAAGTCCGTCAGTGGTATTGTCCCTGCTTCCTCGTCGTTCAGCTGTGATGATAGCGGCGGCGGCGGCGTCGGCGGTGGCGAAGGAACCTGTGTGAAGAAATTAATCAAGCAAGAGCCCCCCGGTGAAGATGATCCCCTTATTTGTACTATCGACCAACCGACCACTTGTTACGGTGATAACGATAGAACTGAACCCCCGGTGAATTGTAAATCAGGTGTCGGTAGCAGTGGTGGTGACAGTATTCGTGTTCGCAGCGACGAAACCGCAGGCGGTGACTTCACACCGTTGACCAATTCGAAGATGGCCGTCGCCGGCACATTTACGAACATGTGTCCCCCTTCGAGCGTAATTGTTTCTGACCATGTGGTCTCGTCGTCGGACGGCGGTTACGCACCGGTCGAAACTCTCATCAGCATCATTAACAGTTCCGGTGTTGCCCCTTCTGCGGCGGGTGGTTTCAAAATGGAGCCACCTCCGATGCAGCTGCCTCCACAGCAGCATCAGCATATGGCCGGTGCCCCGCCGCCGGTAGTCATGTCTTCCACGTCGCTGTCCCCGGTAACTTTTTCTTCCGGTATTTCGCCGATGGATCCCGATATGCAGGAAAGGCTAAAGCTCGAACGAAAGCGAGCCCGCAACCGCGTAGCCGCCACCAAATGCCGTCGAAGAAAGATCGAGAAAATCCTAGAACTTGAAGCAAAAGTGCAGGAGATCTCGGAACAGAACGACGAGTTGGCTCAACGTGCCCAAAGGCTGCGCGGCGAAATCGCCGGCTTGCAGCGCGTCGTCGCCGAACACTGCAGCAAAGGATGTAATGCTTTCTTCCAAATGCAAAGAAACGACAACGAAAAAAATAGCTAAAATTGTTTTACACCTAACGATCGCCGCTCCGTTTTATTGCGTTTTTATGACGCAAGTGTTGAAGATGATTATATTTATTGTTTCTTGATGTTGATGTTTTAATCCGGCTGTAATCTAAACTCGATGCCTTAATTAAATTCTTCTGAACGATTTTCAACCAACGCCACAACTTTTTACATCGTTGTTCTTCGAGTTGATTTTTTTTCAGCTAGCATACTTTTCAGATGTTTGCCGTGAAAGTGTTGAATTTCTGTCACGGTTTTTTGATTTTCGTTTATAACTGTTCGCCATGGTCATTCGCTTTGTGCATTTGACCACAGCCGGACTACCAATACAGTAAATGCGAATGCGCAGTATAGAATCATTAGATGTGTTTAGAGTGGCAGTCGAAGATCTTTTGATATCCTTTTTGCAACAGCTGGGCTTCGATGCAAGCTTTCGTATATCCAAAGTTCATTCATGTCGTCTGTAGTGAGTCAGGAAGTGTGCTCGCATGTTTTAAAGTTTCGTGAAACCATTGAGTAGTCCAGAAGATTCAAATATGCTATGTAAAAAGAAAGTGGAGGTTAAATCAGGTTGCTTGATGTGCTATTTGGAAACAAGGGTGTTTAAAAGCGAATTACCATTCGATTTTGCGGTTTATTGAAACCTGTTAAACAATAAATTGAACATAAAAAATAACCGTTCTCTAAATTCTGTTTGTTTCTAGGTGTCTGACAAGATTTACAGTACTTGGGAAACTGAAGTTTATGAGCATAAAAATGGGCGTTTCATTGGGATCGTAAACGTACCGCAAATTTCATCAATCAACGAACGAAAGAATCATGTCTTACGATGCCGACAAGATATATATCGGAAAACTATTCGAAGATTAAACGGGTTGCGGAAAGTTTAAGATATGTGGGAAACAGCTCCGTGGGATCGTTTCCAATGCCATGCATTTAGGACACTTCTTCAGCCTTAATAATGTGCGTATAGCTGAGCTGTGTAATTTGAGGGGCAGTAGGAATGTCATAGGCCAGTTTGTTCGAAGGAATTAACGTGCCAAACGATAGGTCGCAGCTGCGATGGTTTGGGCATGTTACGAATCCCTACAGAAAGGAAGGCGAAGCCACTATTTCTTTACCAACCGACTGGTGGAAGGCCCAGAGGACTGCCAAGATATATGTGGAAGTAGTCTGCTCCAGACTCCAGTTGTCTTCTGCCGAAATTCAGATTGGCATAGGATGTGGAACGTTGGAAGAACTGTACGATTCGAAAGGAGAAGAGGTCATGGAAGATGATTATGAAGGGACAAACAATATTTTCACTCAAAACTTTACGTGCATTTAAAAAAAATATTTTATGCAATGTTTCATTTGTATGTTGTAATTTTGATGGTGAAACTTGTGTTCTTCGGTAAATAAAGACATGTACATCGTCCTTTTCAAGTGTTACTCTAAACCATGGGTCATGAAGCAATGATGCTTGAATATTTTCTATCCATTAATGAGATGGTTTGTGTATGCTGCTGCGCCGCACCTTCCGGTTCTGTGCGATTGTTCTACTGTTGATGCTTTTTATTTGAATTTACGGTTTACACTTTGTGCTGAGTTTTGTGCAGCTACCTGTTAAGTAGGTGAAGGTAAATTATAAGTACAAGCAGTATGATCGTTAATCGTTTCGCACATTCTCAGATGACCAACCGGAAATGCCATGCTGCTTCTGTTGTTCGCCAATCAAAAGCTAGCTACGGATTTCCGACGCACAGTGGGCTAAATAACTTGCACATCTAATTAGATGTTGGTAAAAAATTTTATTCCGCTCATTGGATCTGAACTCAGCACAAAGCAAATTATTAACAATTATTCGTTTGCCCTCATTTTAATGGCTTTTGTCATAATTTAACGATTTGTTCTTAAATTTTTTCAATTAATCCGCAACTAACCGAAAAACTGTAGTTAACAGCTGTTGTGTGTTTTTCAGAAGAGAATGTGAAGTGTTACTTTGTTTTCATCGGTTTTCAGGGTCGCTTGGGTTTGGAATAATCATTTACACCACCGAATCCACAAGTAGATATGGTACATATATATACAATAGATATGGCTGACATTATTTTGAGGATTTTTCACGTCTTCACTATCCAAGTTATCGGACTGATATTTTCAGGTACCATCTGGCAGGCATTTTTCTGACTTCTTACTCGTGAGTCGACCGCGCATCTTTCCTCATAGGTAGACGGTACGACAAAAAGATTTTCTTGCTGTTTCACTGAGGGCAAGACAAACCGGGCCGATGATATACCCGTTCGAACTTATAGTCTGAGGTAAAAGTGAATATGATAATTTTCAGTTGACGCAAAATATTAGCTTTTTTTAAAGCAGCCTATTGGCTTGATTATGGTCGGATCTCTGCATCTAGATTTCTAAACCTTTAATCAGGCTTAAATATGGTTTTCAAATCCACATGGTAAGTAAGACATTTGTGAAAATTCAGTGCATTGCAGTTACCAGCTGTTTCTTGCTCCAAGATTAACAGCACCAGCCTCGTTTAGACATTGCTAAATTGGCTTGAAGGAGAGCATTCTCTTTCGTCAGAACTACCATATGCACATGCGAAGACTTCTCAATGACTGCTAAAGCTTCCTTCGCTTGAACTCGCTTCTGAAAAAAGGAAACTGCTAAGATTTTGTTGTCCCTTATTTTCGACGTACCCTTCTTTCAGTTAGTTTCGGGATGGATGAGTGAGCCCTGATGTGCTACCAAGTCTAACTAGTTAATGTAACTTTTCGAAGCTAATATACGCAGTTTTAGTTATCATAGCATGTAGTCACATGATTCCTTCAAACTCGTAATGGCGGTCGCTTGACTACCTCGAGAGGAAGAACGACATGTGACATACTGCAGAAATGTATTGTTCGTGCATAATCTTAGTGCTAAACTACATGGTTTCTCCACGGTAAAACATGGCCTTTGAAGCTGCTTTGAAATAGCTCTCAAAATTGAGTCTTGAAGAACTGTGAATTACTTTCGTAAGTCATGCTTGCTAGAGTAAATGACAACCATTCCAGAAGTCGTCCTCGCAAAAGTTGACGGCTAGTCTGTCGGAACCATCGGAACTGAAAAGCATAGAGGCGCAGCAAGGTAAAATTTTTTAAAATGAAAAGTAGACAAAAAAGTAAAGCATGAACGGTATAACCCATTTGCATAAGCACATTAAAAAAGCTTCACACGACCTTGTGCTCGTTCTCCGGTCGATGCTCGACATCATAGTCAACATGCACGAATGCCCGTTCAACGAAAGGTAGCTGCTCGATTTTTTGCTGAAGTCGTTCGCTGACATCATGGCTGCTTTTCAGGTTCGTGTTTTCGTCCATCACCACGTGCAC